GGGGTAGGGAGAAGGATGGGGAACACTGTGTAATTAAATTTATCCAAAAAATAAGCCGATTATACACAAAACCACATCTTTTCCTCGTTAAATAACTCATTTCTCAGCGTTCACTGATAATTTAGAAACATTAGGAACGTTTTGATTTTGCAAAAGCAAGGAAATCAGGGAAAAATATTTTATCTATTTTTTCTTTAGTCTATCGGGAATTCAATACAAGAATAACTATTTACAACACTATTATTTTGGTTCGCAGTGTTATAAAGTTTTTGGGACAGATTAATTTAAGTCTAAAAACTTTAAAGCAAGTCGTTCCAAATAATAGTGTTATAAGTAATTTAATGAAGCGCTTTGTAGTTCGTGTACTCGTCTTATTGCAATGGCTATTTCTAGATAAAATAAGCTCTTTAAGAAAGCAGATTTAAAATATGTAGTTATTTTCAATATCATTTTATTTATATTGAAAACATATTTTGAAAATACCACTATAATTACATTATAAGACGTTCAAAATAAAATTCACCATGAAATGAATAAGAATGATATGGTTCACAATAGTTTAAAAATAAAATTCACCATGAAGTGAGTAAGAATGATAAGGTACACAATAGTTTCAAAATAAAATTCACCATGAAGTGAGTAAGAATGATAAGGTACACACTCTAGTATACAGGGAGATACATCGAGGTACAGTTATATACAGGGAGTTGCAGGGAGATACAGGGAGATGCATCTAGGTACAGGGAGATACAAGGATGTGCAGATAGATACAGGGAGATACAGGGAGATACATCCAGGTACAGGGAGATACATGGGCGAACGGGAGATACAGGGAAAAACATGGAGATACATGAAGGTACTGCAGGGAGATACATAAAGGTATAGGGAGATATATAAAGATACGTGGAGATACATGAAGATACATGGAGATACATGAAGGTGCTGGGAGATACACAGGGAGAAACATGAAGGTATAGGGAGATATATAAAGATACGTGGAGATAGATAAATCTAAATCTATTCATAGATATTACTCATGTATTTACTGGAAATAAATGGAGTTAGAGTGAGTACCAAGGGGAGATATGGACGCATATTGAGTGATCTGAGTATAGTGTTGTATTTTTTAAATACAAAAATAACAAATTTGTTCTTATTGTAATCGATTTTTAGCTTGGCTCTGTTTTTATTTGCCAGAAGAGTGAGATCTATAACCACCATGATAGGCATAAAATCTGGCCCAACTAAACTATAACTCTTCAAATACATTCTGATAATTTATTGTTAACTCTATCAGGCGNGGGGGGGAGGTCCCTGGGACGTTTTTTGGAGATAACTTAAAAAGTATTTGTCTCAGGCTGTTCAAATTTTTTGACTTTTCTAACTAGCACAATCACCTCACCTTAAGGCTAAAAGCGGGGCTTTTACACTAACTGCAGGAGTTCTCAGGCATACTTCCTGAATGCCTTATTTTACCTTTACCCGACTAAATCTATATTTAGACTACTTCCGGTCAATTGGCTTTCGACTTTTTATAACTCTTTGGAAAGCCTTGAACAAAAGGAAGCAGATTGCACAATTTTTGTGAGGAAATTTTGCATCTATTTTTGCACGGATGCCTTTAAAGAGAATTTGCACACTTTCAGTTTTCCTTGAATACAAATTTATTTTTTGAAAATTTTGCAATTATTTTGCCTAGTTGAATTTGCCGTGGTAAGGGCTTTTTAAAAAATGTATAATAAATCATATTTCGCGCACTTTTTGTTTTTCACATTTTTTGCTTAATAACTTGATATTGCAATAAATATTTGATATTTTGCAAATTTGCAATAAATATTTGAAATTTTAAAAATTGGCAAGTTTTTTGCAGATTATTAAAGAAGAGCCCAAGGGCTTTCAAAAAGTGTATCAAATGTTACTCGGAAATAGCTATTCTTATCTATTTTGTTTACATAATATTTTATATTTTATCCGAATATTTTCCATCCTATCTTATCCTATATATTCTTCTACTCTGTTCTGTTATTTATCTAGATCAACAAATTTATTAATATTAAAATTTCAATTCTCTTGTCTGATCAATCCACACTTTATGTTTGTTTCATAGAGTAAATATTTCACAGAGGCTCCGTGTGTTG